TTTTTTTTTTTTTTTTGGTGCTGGGGACCGAACTCAGGTCTTTGCGCTTGCAAGGCAGGCAACAGCACTACTGAGCTAAATCCCCGGCCCTAAAAGTATATTCTTAAATGCAGTGCACAGCAAATTCCATAAAATGTTTTGTTACTGGCATAGACCTCTTAGGCATGGGGAGCATAAAAGATCATAGTAGTTCTGAGGGATGGGAACTTTACTCTTCCTGATTGCTATACTTTGAGGATTTTAAAAAGTTTTAATTTTGTTTAACAGATTTAAATAATGCCAGGCACTGTTCAAGTCTTTTGCAAATATTAAACCATTTGATCCTGAAAACAGTCCTGTAAGTTTGTTATGCCATTCTTATTCCATTTTTATGTAGGAGAGAACAGTGGCCCAGTGGAGTTAAATTATTTGTCTGGTGTTCTGTGTGAGGCAAGTGATGGGGTTTGGATTTCAGCCTCCACCCACAAGGTAGGCTCCAGACTGTGCATTCTTAATCACTGCCACGTTGCTTCCCAGTCTGTTGCCTCCTAGGAATTTATTACTCTTTCTTTGGGTGAGGGTTACTTTTTTTTCTTTATGCCCAAATAAAAAAGCATTCTTTATCTGGGTTTAGTTGGACTTTGGGCCTTGTTTGAACTGAAGTCAGAATTGGAGACTATGTTTAGCTCCAATCTCCTATAAATCACAAAGCTGTTTGTAAACAAACTTTCGGGTAGTATTTTATCTTCTAGATCTAGGTCAGTAGTTTTCTAGTACAAACACCCTTCTTATCTTCCCAAAGTCCATTCAGAGTATCATTGGTGACCCTTTCTCATGAACAGTTGGATTTTTTTTCTTTTACACTAACAACCTCCATGATAGTGCTTTTTAAAAATCAATGCTCTATTTGTGATTAGTGCTTGGTAGTTTCTTGATAGAAGGTTTGATAAATTGACTGGTAGATAATATATCCTGGCATGGAAACAATCCCCCCCCTTCCCCTCCCCCCTTTGAGTTGTTTTAGGATGGCCTTAAACTAGCTATGTAGCCCAAGCTGGTTTCAACCTTGCAGTTCTACTTTGGGACTACAGGTGTCTGCCCTCACTTCCTACTCAAAACTCTTTGTTAAAGGAGCAAATAATCCCCTTTGGGCAGAGCAGATCAAGTAACTAAAGTATTTGTTTAGTAGTCTTCTTAAATTTTGTTTTAATTTGCTTTACTGGTATTTTAAGAGATGCTGGCTAATATAACACAATAATCAAAGCCATATATCACATGGAAACTCTTCACTATTCCATGGTATCCCACTTTTTAAGTTTTTTCCTATTTTTTAATTGCAGATCTATCTATAGCAGTACAGAAATTTTCCCAGTCCTTACAAGACTTCCAATTCGAATGTATTGGTGATGCCGAAACAGATGATGAAATTAGTATTGGTAAGTACTCTGTATTTCAGTATTCTAAGTTATAATCTGACTTCAGATACATATTTTACTGAAATCAAACATTCCCATACCTAAAAAATAAATATCTAAATTATTCTGATTTTAATAAAATTCAGTGTGATTTTGGAGTTATATGAAAAATAATATTATAAATTGTTTTTAAAGTTGAAACTGTTGTTTTTTTTTTCCACAAAGAAATTAATTGCTTTTTCAAACCCAGGTCAGCCTTCTGAGAAAATATTGGTTAAATTGTCTTTGCATCAAAGTAAATCATTCATTCAAACAAACGCATTGGGCATATATCATTAAATATGCTTGGTACAGGTATTAGGAATTATGTTTTTTTCAGTACTGATTTGTTTTTTTAATTTGAACATTTTTTATGTAGAAAACAAATCATATTTAATTAGTTATGAGGTATAGAACTAGAATTCTGGCGAGCTGCAAGGCATTACTGGGGATCGATCGGAAGGCTTGAGCCATTATCTGCAATCTAGCAAAATGATCTGAGGAAGGTATGCCTCTTCTTTATCTACATGATTTCATTTCCTGTAAAATGGAGAGATTGGATTATGTGAGTTTTATTTGTATCTGAGTTTTTATTGTTTGATCAGATTCGTGAAGCATTCTATCCCCCACCTTTAAAGATCCCTACTTATTACATGGGTGTGAGATTCATTTGTAGGTTGGATGTGTCATATAAACAAAAGAACACGTGTAGATATTTCAGAGAAAAACATTAAGTATACCCAATTTCTAGATAGAAAAATACAATATTACAAGTACTGGCTTAGGATAATGATTCCCAACCTTTAATATAAATGTCAAATTCTTCAAGATATAACCATAATGCAGGTTTTGATTCAGTAAGCCTCAGGTGAGAGTTACAGTTCTTTCTAATAGCCTTGAAGGTGTTAACAGTGGTACTGTTCTGTGGACCACACTTTAGTAGCAAGGACTTACCTTTTTAACCCCTCTCCACAGTCATATTCCTCTTCTTTCCTGCTTTTCCTTTTTTTTTAAATATAGTTTTGCAAGTTATGATTTTATTTCATAGAGTATGCTTTATTTGTTTTGAAAGCCTCAGTAGCAATTCCAAAACTTGTGAAAAGAAAGCCAGATGTGATACAATCTCAGCACTGGGGAGGCTGAGGCAGGACGGCGACAGTGAGCCACATAGTGAGTTCAAGGTCTTCCTGAACCCTGTCTCAAAAAACAAAACAAAATGAATACATATAAGAAAAGAAAGGGCAATATTTTCCCCAGGAAAGGGAAACTGTCAAGACAAGTCCCTGGGGTTTCTCACTTACTATGAAGCATTAGCTTATTTCTATTCCCAAGAGCTGCTCTGAAGAAAGCATTGAGCAGAGTGCACAGTCTTGGGACAGGCTATTTCTGTGCATGGAATTTACAGAAGTCTTGCATCGGTATGAACACGTTGGCAGGAGGTGGGCCAGTGGTCACATTATCTGCTGGCTCCACTAGGAGTGCGAGTTACTCTGAGGGGAGCATAACAGAGGCTAGTCTCTGACAACAAGAGTGCTCCTTCTTCCATTTGGGATAAAAAATAGCCCAGTACCAGTTAGGAGTCACTAGGAAGTGGGTAGAGCCCTGCCCCATGGACCTCAAACAGCATGACTCTTTCCTCTTTCCCATTTACAGGACATATGGGAAAGACCAGTATTAGTGGTCATGCACCATCAACATGTGGAAAAAGTGTTATTTTATTGTCTTTTTTTTTTTTTTTTTTTTTTTTTTTGTGGTGCTGGGAATGTAAGCCAGGTCCTCAAGTACGCTGCGTACACACTGGGCCCCGGAGCGCCATCCCTAGCCATACTTGTTACTTCTTGACATTTGTGTTATATCTGTCAACTGACATAACCAGATGAAAGCCTAAATTACGTACTCAGTACTATGCTATAATTTTTGGAAAAAGAATACTCAAAAATATTATTTTCACTTAGTTATAAAATTAAATTCCATGAAGACAGAGGTCAGATCTGCTTTTAATTTTTTATCATTTTAGCCTCTGCACTTCACTTAGGGCCTAACTCATGATAAACCCTCAATTTATTTGTTGAATAAATATCAGTATTTCTTTATAAACTTTATAATTTTTACATACATATGCATCTTTTTCTAATAGGATCATTTTTTAAATAGACTTTTTATTTTTTCTAATAGAATAATTCTACCAGAGTGATAGAATTTAGTATTTTTCCTATGGAAAGAGGATTACAGCAAATACTTCTGGGTTTCAGAGACATTATTGTCTTTAATGGTTTCATGACTCTTCTATCAGGTTTATACATATGAATTTATGAAATTATTTCTAGAGTACATTAAGGTTGTTTCTAGTTTATCTCTTTCCTCATATTATTAAGAGTAATTAACTATCTTTCCTTTATTAAGCTTTTTACTGAAAAATCTTCCTTGAAGTCTGATACATGTAGAAACTGCAGATGAGAGTTTTTAATCACTCTGCTATGCAGCCTTCTGAACAGATGTTACATACTTTCCCCAGATTGTGGTGGATTTAATATCTAAGAGGTGATTTTTATTATTTTGCATGCAGTCTGGGATTTGTTCATGAAGTCTTTGCCTACTCTTATGTCCTCGGGAGTTGTACCTATTCTCTCTTCCTGCAGATTTAGTGTTTCTGTTTTAATATTTAGATCTTTGATCCATTTTTATTTTAGTTTAGTGTTTTACTCTGCAAAAGAAATCATCAACAGAGGGAAGAGACAACCCAGAGTGGGAAAAAGTTTTAACCAGAAATCTCTTAGACAAAGGACTAATATATAGAACATAAAAAGAATTGAAAAAAATCAGTGACACACACCTCCCCTCACCCCCTGCACCAAATTTAAAGACTCAATCCAAACATGCTTATCTGAAATTAATAGACACTTCTCAAATGAAGAAGTATAGGGTCAGGGATTTAGCTCAGTGGTTCCACTGCCTGATTCAAATGAAGTACAAATAGCAAATAAATATGAAAAAATTTTCAGCATTACTAGTCTTCCTAGAGATGTGAATTAAAACAATGCAGAGATTCCATCTCACCCCAGAAAGAATGGCTAATAAGAAGTCAACCAACAAGAAATGCTGGCAGGGATGTAGGGAAAAGGAACCCTGCTTCACTGTTGGTGAGGGTGCAAACTGGTGCAAACACTTTGGAAATTCCTCAGAAAACTAAGATTAGAAGTCCCATTTGACCTAGCTAGTCCCCTTCTGGGTATCTTCCCAAAAGTATTAAAAGCATCACACCACCACAGTGATATATGCACACTCATGTTTATAGCAATACAGTTTGTAATGGCAGAATCTTGGAAACAACCCAAATACCCATCAATCAATGAATGGATAAAAGATGTTTTTTTGTTTTGTTTTATTTTTTTGTAATATAATGGAGTACTACTTGGCCATAAAGAATGATAAACTTCAGATATTTCTAGTTAAATGGATGCACCTTGAGACTGTCAGACACACATGTGTAAATACTGAATTCTCTCTCTGGTGTGAGAAACTGAAAGGGTAAATAAGGACCAAAATGTGTAATATATAATGTGAAATAGGAAGAAATTGTTCAAAAGGAAAGGGGAAGGGTGGGAAGAAAAGAAGAAAATGAGAAAAGAAGGAAAAAATAGAAATAAAGCTTTTGTAAATGAGGGAAAGGGGTTTGAAAGGAAGGGAGTATATTGGAAGACAAAGGAATCACAGGCACAAATTTCTTGTGATGAAGGTGATCATTATGTATATTTAAATTGTACCTATAAAATTAATTTAAAAAGTAAAGGTGATCTGTTTGACTCTTCCCATGTAGGCTAAATGAATATTGTTGTGTGACTCTTGCAGATTAGATTTGAAAGGTGTGAATTGCTCAGTGGTGAGGACTTAACTATAGGCAATGATAATCAAATTCTAATGGTTGAGGCTACAGAAAAATTAGATGATAGGGATTGGAAATGGGATGATAATATATAAAAAATATGCTTGTTAATTTTAGAGCAGAGTACTGTGAACTGTGAATCTGATTTAAGTGTCAGTACTTTGGAAAACCTTAGAGCAGATGATTGTATCTGTGGTCCTAGGGTTCGTGTGTAGGACCTTGTGTATACTAGTTAAGTTCTCTACCACTGAGCCACAGCCCTGTTCCTGAGCAAAATGATTTATAAGCAAAAATTATTTCTAGAACAACTGTAAAAACACAGGTGTATCCCCATATCTTAATTATACAGCATATATATTCTTAGCCTGCAAATATATGGTAAAAGCTTAAAGTAAATTATGAAAGAAGTTAAGAAATAGAATGAATGTTGAATGATTATTCCAAATATGGAGAATTACGTGTGAGGTTATCCCAACCTGTTAATCCAAGGACAGTGAACTGAGAAATGTAACCCTGAGACTTGTGTGAGGATGTTGTGTATGGGGAGTACAGGGGGATCACCCTTACCTACCTCAGTCATCTTTAATTATGCATACAAAGTTCCTGTTAGCCTTGCCTTAGCTTTTTGGGCCCCCAGTTTCAGGTTCTTCGTTATTGCTCTGTTTTAATGAAAGAGGAATGAAACAGGGACAGCTGTGACTCTTAGCATTGAGTAATATCCAGAACACTTCAGCCAGAATAGTCTTGAGACATAACAATGACATCACTGCAAAGTTCAATGACTTAATGAAAAAGCTCATTTGACTCTTCCCTCTCCCCGCTTCTCCTCCTCCTTCCTTTCTTCCATCTTTGCCTCCTCCTGTCTCTCATATTGAATCAGGACCTTCACACTGAGCTACATCCCCAGTCCTTTTTATTTTTATTTTGACACAGGGTCTTGATTTGTTGCCCAAGTGGGACTCAATTCTCTCCTAAAGGGATAGGATTACAGGTGTGTGCCACCAAGCCTGGCTACTCATCTCTTACAAGTAAGTAAGCCCTGTCAGTGCACAATGATTGTGAAATAAAAGCATTGTCAAGGTTTCCATGTGATAAGCTG